TTTGGCTTACTGTTTATTGTTTCATCTGCGTAAATAGCCTTAATTCAGTTTTAAAATCCCTAAAAACGCTATGTTCACCTTACTTGTTTACCACATGGTCAAAGTAACCGCCAATACAATAATTTATATATTATAATAACACTCGTATATAATTCATGATAAGAAATAGTTTACGGTTAGTAATAATCAATGTAGGGCGATAATAGCTCAGTTTGTTTCAGTCATTCTTCTTACACACCAATAACCCTGCTAATGGAATACAAATCACGTATGTAGAGAAAATAATTAATAACGTGTCCATTAAGATTAACGAATTGATATACGTGTATTGCATTGAGTGAGTCTTTTACATTCATTTATAATTTTTTATATCGTTACTTTCTAAAATATAATGTTAATAAAATATATATTTGTTACACTTCGAAACTAACCTACAGCAAAAAAACAAGTTTATTTAATTCAAGCTTAAAGAGAAAAGTAAATTCTAACATAATTTTAATTTAATTAATAATGCTGACTTAACAAATTTGCATTTTATTACAATTTTTAGTGTCAAGTGCTGATGATGGTCCCACAAAGATCCAAAAGAAATTTCCATACACTAATGGATATAAAATCGAAATCAAGAAGAAGTCATGGCCCATGACTAATGAGAATGTTAACAGCAGAGATAAAAGATCCAAACGTCCGTGCAGAGAAGATATTCGCAAGTTTTGCAAATTATATTCAGGATGGCGTTACAAATGGATATCACCTATAAAATGTGCGGCTTTAGGGAACATCAATGTTCGTGAAGTAGTTCAAGGACCATTTTCTTCGCCTAAACTTGTAAAAACATCGCCTTTCGTCGTTCTTTCAAGAGGATGTAATAATACCGTGGAGGAGAGAGTAAACAGAGTTAAAAGTAGCATTCGAAGAGGGATTCCTGATCCTTGGGCAGAACATTTGGCTTTAACGGGACTGAGCAGTGAAGATGATCGTCGAGTAATTCACGCAGACTATAAACTAGGTCGTGAGAGTCTTCGAGTTACCGAAAAAGTCTGGAAAGACCTTGGTCTTCATCTGAATCAAGGAATTCCAGATCCCTGGAAAGAATACTGCAACCCAAGAATAAACTACCTCTGCCAAGGACTGAACGAAGATTGCAATCATCGGCCAAACACAAATGAGTGTCCAAAGCAAACGGTTTGTACGCGAAAAAAGAATCGAAGCGATGACAAGAAATATCCGAGAAAAATAAAGCAACCTCTTGTCGAAGTTGATCAGGTAGACAGCAAGTAATATTTTTAATACTTCTTAGAAAATGTCGTTGAAATAACTATAAGACAGATTTAAGTGACCAATTTTTTTTAAATAATTGCTTACGTCGCGCATTAAGAAAATTTGGAAACTATTTCAATGGTTGCGGCTTAAGAATTTCGAACTCTCACTAGTATTAGCGAACGCATAATGGTTAATATAAAATAAGAAGCAATGACATGTTTTTTTTAAAGCCTCAAATTCTTTTTCTATCTAGAAATATTCTCGTGAATAAAAAACGGCTATGTGTTGAAGTAGAACACTTTTCAGTTTACTTCATACATAACAATAGGTAGAATAACGGCAAATTCATTTCAGAAGTTGAAAGCTTCAAAAGATATTAACATTGCTGAGAGTAAGGAATCAATGGAGGCAGCAAATATCGATTTAGAAGCACCTTCATATCCTGCAAAATCGTCAAATCATCTGATCCAGCAAAAGGTTAAAAAACCATCACCTGGTTACATTTGCAAAATTTAACTGTACATGTAAAACTAGTTATTTAATCAATTCATCCAACAGGAACCAGTTGAGAGCTATAATAACCAAGAGAACTCGAGTAAGCGATCAGACGCTGAAGAGAAAATAATGGCTGTAAATCCGCCAGATCGTGGAATGTTATCCAAAGAAATCACGTGCAATTGCAATGAATATTTCAAAATAATGATGCCTTCTTGTTGGCAACTGCTTCCGCATGGCACGATACCTTGTCAGCCTTGTATAAGAGCCAATCACATTTGCTGTGATTTGATTCCAACTTGTGTTTTACAACATTTTTCTCCAAATGTTAATCCTTCGTCTCAATTACCTACAATACAAAATTGCAAACAAAGATGGTACCGAAACGCACTAAAAAACATAAAGATTCCAGACTACTCAAGTACAGTATGTGCAATGAAGAAGATTTTAAGACGCGGAAATGATAAACGTTCCGAAGAAGATAAATCGACATTGAATGTTGTCAACAATATTTCAGACGACATTAATTTTGTTTGCTGTAAATGCAGTTGCCCGTGCCTGAAGATTCTGCCAAATAGACCCGAAATATCTAATAGTAGTAAAGCAGATGTATTTTATTCTTTTGAAAAATTGTCTGACAACCAACCTACGCTTCATCAACGGCAAGAAAAGGAGAAGAACACGAAATCGAAGATCGAAAAAAGAACTTTACGAAATCACCAGTCGAAGGCAAAGAGGCAACATAGCAAATCGGTGGGTACAGAAAATATAGAATTGGCCAAAATGAAAAAGAGAAAAGATAAAGATTCAAATGGAAAGGCATACTTAAAGGAAGTTTACCAGGATGAAACATTCCCAGAAGATCCATCGAAGCGGAATGAAAGTATTCGGAAAAACGCAAGAGAATACAGAAAAGCTTCAGAAGTAAATTGCAACGATTCTGAGTGCTCGGAAAAACGTGCAGTTTATCAAAGACATACTCCACAACTTCGTCATTCATATTTTAGCTCAGATAGTGGAGAAAATACAGACGTATCTAACGTGTTTTCATATGAAGGAACTAGAGAAAATGAGACTGAAAAATCATCTATTACATCCAATGCTTTCGGCGACTTTCAGAATGAAAATCCCATCATTCAAACAGCACCTAAAAGAAGAGATCATTTAACAGTGGTTCGTTCTAATAAACAAAAACACAGTGCGATTTGTAACGACAAATGTTACCAATCTGCACGTAAATTACATTTACGCCAAGATGGCACTTTACCTAGTGAAATAAATCGAGCGAGCCTTGTCAACGAGTACAGTATGTTAAACGAAATCGACGACACTTTACGTCAGACAAATCAATTAAAGTCGGGACAACGAATGCGAAAGCGCAAGGAAAATCAATTCCCTGAACACGCAGGTTTGCTCGAAAAAGACAAAATGAAAGAAACGTCAGAACCAGACTTAACAACCGATGAAGTTGATAAACTGAAAGCAGCAGAATCCGGAAATTCTGCCCCGGAGAGTGAAGGATCTATCGCAGTTAATAAAGTAGAACGCGCAAATAATTATCTCTTTATGAATCAACAGAAACTTCCTTATGATCCGTCAAAGAGTTATCTCGGCAATGCACCTGCGGCGGTGATAGAAATGGAAAATCTTAATTCTAGTCTCAAGGCAGAAGAGTTTCTGGAAAATCATAGCTCGCAACTGATTCGAGTAAATCCTAAGGAAACCCAGTTCTCGGAATACGATTCCCGGAAATTGATACTTCCCAAAGGTGCAATTATTGGCAAAGTGCCTCAGAAAGGTGATTTGCCGATTATCAATGAACATGCTGATCCAATTAAACTTCACTCAGGCGATACGCTAAAACTGAATGAACAAAGTATAAATAAAGAAGTGGGTGAACCCTTTGAAAAAAGCAATTTTAACAATGAGTTGAAATTCTTGGTTTCCGCCCAAAATCACGACTTCCGTTCTAATCAGTCCTACGATGGAAAGCTTGATAATATTTCCGAAAAAGATCATGAAGACTTATCGATTTTGAATTCCTACTCACGAGATGATTCTGTCCTTGAAGTCAATATATCAAGATCTAAAAAATTTCACACTGAAAGGCTTAAAGATGATAAACCATACACTCAAGAAGATCATTTGGCAAATGAGAGGGAAAATATTTATTCTAATAACGAGGCCAAAAAATTTATACATGTGAAAAATAATGGATTCTTCATTAATGAATTTAACGATGAGGAATTAAAATCTGAACCTTATGCAGAAGTAAATGAAACTTGCGAAGTTGAAGATCTTCGAAAGAATTCTGAGAATATTATTGACATTTCAAATAACGTATCACATACATATTCAGATAATGCTCAATATATCAAAATGTGTTATTATCGTCAATACCCGAAAATATCTAAAGATGAGAAATTACTGATACAATCCCTTTCCGGTGATATGAGTATAGAAAAGGACTCACCGATAACATAAGAAAAAATCATTTTGAATCATTTAAGAATATCTCAAAAGAACGGGAAAACAACACTGTCACATCGACAAGGTATTTTCTTTCAGAACGAGAAACAGTCCAAGAATAAACACTTAAAAATACGTGACCTTGAGACCTCCTAAAAAACCTCCTCCTATATGTCATTCCTAACTTCCGAAGTTAATTTCTTTATAACATATACAACAGAATATTTATCTATCAACCACAATTTCAAGAAACAGTAACACTATGCCTAATCATTTTCATAATTTCCATCCTACTGGATTAACTACGAAAATAAAAGCATCCTTCCCTGATCACACCTAAATACATGAAATTCACTTCCCGAGTTCATCGGTTATTTCAACGTGACCATCTCTCGCACTCTCACTCTATTTCAAACACAGTACATGTTATTAAAAATTTCAGCCTTCAACCATTCGGGAAATATAGCAACAACATGCTATATACGATAGCATAGCGGTTAATTATCTCGCGTACTGGATTTATCATCAGGTTAGTCATCTAGAGGTCTGACTGACAAACTCGCCAAGGCGCGTTTTTAACGTGGACCTGGAAGCGGTTCCTCGAATCATTCTAACGAGTCAAGGTGCGTCGAGTGAACAAAGCGCGCGAAGTTTGCGGTTTTCGCGGCGGCGAGTCTAGAGGAGGGGAGGTCGGCGGAGGGGGGAGAGGGAACGCGATCAGATGGGTTCGCGATGACGCCCCCGCGGCACAGCTGATCAGTCGGTCCGCGGCACGCAAACGGGTAGGAGCTGGTACCACGTGGTCGTCGCAGAGGTACGCGGCCTCGTTGGAGTCACGCCGGTCGACGCGTGGACCGTAAACGGTATTCCCGGAATCGCGAGGGACCTCAGTCGGCGACCGACCGTCGAACCGACCGGTAGTCGCGAATCGCGGAGAGGCTCCGGCATCGGTTTCTCGCAGTCAGGGCGCCGAGCGACGCGCCTATGTGCCAGGAACGCGGCGTCCACCTCCAGCGGGGAACCGGCGAAGCGGCAACGTCGGGATCTATGTGTCCCGACGGCGAGGACGACAGGTCCGCCTCCGACACCGCGTTTCACGAACACTGACCGGGGTGTCGCCACCGGCGCCCGCCGCGTTTAAATTTGCCGCGCGACAGCGCGACCGCGAACCCCCCGCCGACCGTCCCGCGGGGTGCGGGCTGAGCGGGCATGCAGCAGGAGAAGGAGCAGGACAATGGAATCAACGTCAGGTTCAAGGAGGAGACCAGAAAGGGCCCCTACACGCTGGTCCCTCAAAAGAACGCGGACTCTGGTCTTCCCCGAATCACCAACGGCACAGGTACATATGCGAATACATACCTTTGTGCCAGACTGTTTACACCCGGAAGCTGCCTTCCCCACGGATCTTCTGACACTCGTTCGACCGTTGTTATTTACCCGACTCTAATCCTCCTAAGCACTCACTTTCTGCAAATCATGAGTTAAGAGAGACGGGTATTTCTAGGAAACTTCGAATTATATCTCGAGTTAATAACTAGAAATAAAATGTGCGCGACGGTAAATCAAGGTTCGAAATGTTTTAAACAGTTTGGGGAGTCTCGTATATGAAATATATGGCACAGGCGTTGAGAAATTGTACTTTGAAACTGAAAAGGTTACTTCCTAGGGACTTACATGTCATTTGTTTACATATCTTTGTGAGAATGTAAATATTTAATTTGTCGGTGAATTTTCGGTATGATGTGGTTAATTGAAATAAAAGATGCTCGTTACGAATTAGGTTGATATGAAAAATATTGTCGAATAACGTTTTCAAATTCGCTACTTAGTTCCAGCTGGGTCATTGTAATGGCGATAAAAGAGCGAGCAGTCATTTCCTGAATCTTGACCTCGTGCTAATCGATACTGTGTTGACTCATGCTGATCGGAAACGGGCGATCGTTTTGTTTTCGCCGTATCAACAATGTATAACGAATAGCCAACATTATTATCCGCCGCGATTAACGGAGTGGCACCTTGGAATTCGGAAACCCGTCCGATCATTCGTCAGAATGATATATTTCTTTTCATAAACACTTAAGGTTTAATAATGCAGTCCATAGGCTTTCGACAATGAAGAACAATACATGGGGAACGTTGTAAATATATTGATCGCATTCAAAACGTAAGATGTTTATTATGACTCATTTTACGTGACTTATTTTACGACAATAAACATGTATACCGTCTCCGCGTACATTTCAGTCCTAAAAATCATGAAGATAACAGCGTAACAAAGATCAAGATATGATGTTCTTTCGAACCAGAGATCCTTCCTGGAAAGAAAGTGCACTCGACCGCAACTATCACAGGTTTACTCATTATAGAGCATTCTAATTGACTTTGACTCTTTACCGTTCAATTTACCCCTTAAAATGAAGAGACTCGAAATACCGAATCTTATTTTATCAGCATTCACGCAACCTTCCATTGTCTGAATTTTTATTTCAATCAATTTCCGATCACCGTGCGTTCTGAAAAATTGCGCTTGCCGGGATAAATATTAAACCCTCGAAATTGTTATTTATCTCGCCCTTTATATATCATTAAATTCCATATCCAATGTTTATCAACGTTAAGAGTTGTCTCGGTGTTTGCTTTACTTGCCGATAACTTTCACGGTGTTTTTCCACGAGTTCGTTTTCGCAGCTGACCTAGATAAGACGTACCGTTACCAATGCATAATCGTCAAGGGCCTATCTTAGGTATTCACATTCGCAATACTCGTGATTACGGGTGTCCGTTCATCAGTTTTACTACCCGTCCACTTTAACAGTACATCTGTAGAAAGATAACCGGCCAGTCGAGCCATAAGCACGTTTTCGCTAACGTTGCGAAATCCCGATAAAAAAATCGTAACTTTCTTAATAAAATGTTTTATTGGATGGGTGAAGTACATCTACAATTCAGATACGAAAACTTTCGCAGAAGGAGGCACTCGAAGGCCGCCTTGAGCCTGGAGATTTTGTCGGATCCTATTCAAATTTTAATCCTTTCGTTATTCTAAGAGCTTGACTGTAGTTACTGTAGTAATCCGCGAAAACTGAGATATTTCGGACAGAAACAAGCGCTACTGTTGAAACAAAGGTGCACGTACCGTACATGGAGGATTTTTCGCGAATTTTTACCGGGACCCAAAATGTTAATCCGAAAATGGTCACGTGTAGACGAAAAACGTAACGTTGGAGTATAACAGAAGTTGTCGAGTTACGGCTGAATCACAATGATTTATGTTCACTTTCACAATGTGCAGTTTCGAGGGAATACTTACGTGTACGTGTGTGTTTATACGTGTAAGGTTACAATGCCATGAAAATCCAGTTGAAGCCGGTAAAACCGTCCAGCCATTCAATTATGTACCAGTTGCTCGTAAGAGATTCCAAGAGCGTGCGCAGTATAACGCAATCTCGTTGGAAATATAATTAAAAAAAAAAAGGAAAAAAAATGCATCACCTTACTTGCGTCCGGCATTTCTAATCAATGAAGAAATTTGCATTTCACACAATGAAGTGGAGATAATTTATACCCGGCCAGTTGAGATTTATAACGCAACGCTCTGACTGATGTCACGTAGAGTTGCCGACAGTTAATTTCTAATTATTGAAAGGTAATAAGTAAAGTCAAAGGTCGAGGTTCCTGTTCTTCACAGGTGCGGAATGCAACAAGTAGAATGGACGAATGAATGGGAAACATATTTCTGAGACACATGATCGATATTATTTTTATTAATTTACACGGCACTTTTTCTCCAATTTAGATAGAACCTTCCCTGGAGAAACTTATTAGACGAATTATAAAAATTACATCCGAAGGATGTAACGGGTAAAGTTTTCGTGTTATAAAAGAAATTAGGTAAGAAGCGTTTAAACATTGGGGAGAATACATTCTAGAAATTCCGACGACTCTCTTCGGTACGTTATCAAACGTTCTAACATTTCCGTAAAATTGCCACCTGGCTTTAAGTACGAAACCAGAGTACATATTGACGCTGCAGCACTGTAAATCTTTCTAACGAGATCATGCATTAAGTCTCCATATATTCAACCATTCATATAGACGTATGGCACGTGGCACTCCGGAAAAGTCGTGCGTCATCTGTAATCACGTTCTACGAACCTTTACGATTTTCCTGAACTCTCGATTTATGAATAATCAGAAGGAAAAGAAAGTAATCTTCACGCATCCACGTGTACGCTGCTCGTAAAAGGAACTGCTAGACCATGTCTGGGTAATCGCAAATATTTTTTAAATAAAAATTGAATCGCTATCTCCTTACATTTTCCTAATCGTATATTAGTGTCTAGTACGATTTTTATTCCTAGGCGTTGCGATTACTTAAGCGAGAAATTTATATGACTACCAAGTTATATTCGACCGATACAAGTTCTCCAATCTTCAAAGTAACGAAAAGTCCCGTCCAATTACCGGTTGATTTCGTTTGGATAAAATTAATCTAATTCGAGCTTGGACGAAGTCGAGAACGTTATTGCCGAAAGTTCAGCTGGCCGTGGAAAGTGACCTAAAATGGGAATCACCCTATTTATTCGTACTCGAATTGATTAGCGGCGTGACAGCGCGACCTGCCTCGTTTGCGGTTGTTTGTCCAACGAGATTTATGTGGCGAATAAGCGGAAAGATAATTCCTATATGAATTAGCTTGGTTGTTTCGCTAATTGGTTTCCCTCGATGACGCAAGCCGCAATTAATCAATGATCGCCACTTGTGCGCGCGGCAAGCCTACCAGCCTCGTGGCCCAAAGCTACGATCCAATTGTAATTGCTGCTAATTGATAACAATAATAATGATTGCGGCCTCACCAGAAGAGTAGTTCCAGTCGTATGATAACTACGGCATACGCATTTCTTCCTATACGACACGCGTCCCCGGAGAAAGTTACTCCGCCTGTGAATGTGGATAACGAAAGGAAATGAACCGAAACGAAACGAAATGAGATTAGAAGAAACAAATTTACTCAATTGATTTTATAATAGGCACTAGTCGCGTTCTCATGGACCACACAAGACGCGGATGAGATCAATTACATGAGTTCATCTCATCGATATATTACGGCGGAGATAATCGTTATCAATGTTAAACAAATTGTACGCCTCAAGCGAACATCTGGATACCGCGGTGAAGTGTACATTCGGTGTAAACTTAGAATTTCAGAGCTGTGCATTTTTCTGAAATCTCAACGGTCAGCATTTTGAAAACAGATCGAGGAGAGCAGGGCTTCAAAATCTGAATGAAAGATAGTCATAGAGTATTTGATTGTTCTTTAGTCTTCGATTTAAAAAAAAAAATGTCCGATAGAACGTTAGACAATTCGACAGTAGTTCGTATAAGTTTACAAGCATTGCTCTAATTTTAATCGTCGTATCGGATTTGAAACTTTAATACCACCTTGGGGACTTAAATACCATGAAACTTGCAAACGTGTTTAACGGAATGATTGTGTTAACGTAATACGGAAATAATGAGTTTTAGGTAACCGAGAGATTTATTTCCCCTGGTTTTTGTATGCGGCTCGTCAAAATCATCGTCCAGCAGTGTGTATAAACTCAGGACGATATATATTGTTGAGATGCTTCATGATCCGTATGAAACGGACGATAAAGGTTCGAGTATATTACCGGTAATAAGGCTGACTCCTTTACAGTGCACTGATTGCATTGGTGCAAAAACTGGAGCTACCGATTGGTGTTAGGCATAAATGGGTCAAGGAAAAGTAGGGCTCTACCCTTGTTCCGAATGTTCGATTGTCCGAAACGGCGCTCGACCGAATGACTTATGGCCAAACGGAACAAGTCCAGAACGACGGTTCTGCTGGAACGTTCGGCCAATTACGAACAGGTCGTAGTACACGCATGGTAATATTTTCTCATGTACGCGTAGATTCGAATGCCAGACCGAATCGTCGGAGCTGAATAACACGGCTCGATAATGAATCGCGATGACTCCTAGGATTAATTCACCAGGTACCGAGTCGATATTTGATAGTCTAGGCACTTCAACGAGCACAAACCTAAAGTCTAAGACTGCCAAAACACGAATTTTTCGCGAATTTCTTACCAGCATTCCTTATACTTTTTTACCAATTTTTCTTCAATCCTTCCAATCATTCTGACGTTGGTAATTTTTGTTACATGAGTAGATTAAAGATATCATCTCCAAACGTATGTGTACATTTATTTTTTTATTTATCTTTATTTTTTTTTTACGTTTGTACTTTTTATAGGAATTTTATACACAGTTTATTATTTATACAGCGTTTATACAAAAGATGCAGTCTTTCTGGGG